AGAGAGAGAGAGAGAGAGAGAGAGAGAGAGAGAGAGAGAGAGAGAGAGAGAGAGTCTTCCAATTGAAATTTATATAGCAACATTTTTATCTTTGGTTTTCCACTTTCCAACCATTATTATTCAGATTATGGAGAATTCAGGTAATGAATCTAAATAAGATGATATTTGACCACCTTCATGTAAAAATATTGTTCATTATTCTGCACAAATGCTCCCCCCCTGTTTTTCCCTATAATTTCGTCGTCCATCTCACAAAAGGGCGTAGGGGCATTTTTGGCATTTTTCAGGAGAGCGTTTCAAAGTTTTGGAACCTTTTTAAATTCTTGCCGTGGCATAACCATTTGCTTTTTCGTTTCAATTTTTAGCAAGATATTAGTACAAACACTGATTTATCTTTCCCTATAATGGTTATAGATATTGCGTTATCAGTTTTTAAGAAATGGTCTAAAATAGCTGATACGCCTGTTTGAGAGAACATAATAATGTCCGTAAAGACACAAGATTGAGAATACGCTACATCGTTTGGTAATAGATTAGAATATAAGAGAAAAGAGATTTTTTTCTTGATTATAGAACAGGTTTATCAACTCAATATTCCAAATTGATTTATTTTAGTGAAAAAACAACAAGAAAAAGAAAATGAAATCGATTTGGGGTCTCCACGATATGAAATGTAAATAACTTAAAGAGTTAAGCTTTCTTAATTGTCTTCAAGGTATTATGCAGAATTTGCACAATACAATGAGTATAAAATTACTAGTACCGCACAGATCCTTTCATTCAGGACTGCGCACCATCCTTTGACAACAACAATATTAGTAGAAAGATAAATTATGAGCATGTGTAATGAATTTGTGTAATACCTTATAAACGGTTTAGCCCATAATACTCTGTTTATCAAGGAACTATTGTGCAAGTGTTTATTAAGAAAGATTTAAATGATCTGGGAAGGCACTTCAATGCGAAAACACAGTGCAAGTGGTAGCCTGTTATAAGTTACATGTGGCAAAGTTAAAAGGATATTGTGTGTTTCTCCAGTCTGATGAAAAGTGTACTACTTGGCTACAGGGAGTTTTTTTAGGCTGTTCATGGCTCAGTGCAGACAATGGAACGTCTTTGACGAGATTTTTCTGGCGCTTAAAGATCACTGTTTGGTACAATGGGTTTGTAGGAAATAAATGGTTATTGAATAGTCTCTGTTGAGTCTGTTCCATAATATCACTTCAGTTTATGATTATATTGCGTCTGAAAGCATCTTCTTCAAGGTATCTGATTTCGGCTTTTCTGTGGATACGATTGTTCAGCCTTTATTTTGTCTCCTCTTCAGTTCAGGCTTGAGTGCAAGTCCTTTTAATTCGAAACTGACCTACAGTAGTGATGTGAGTCAACAGCGAGGAACCTCGCAATATGAGCATTAATAAGGGAGGGATGTTTTTCACCTCTTTCTTTGACAGTTGCTGGGCATCATCATCCTTTTTTTCTACTTCTATAGTTTCAGCTGATGTTGTCTTACAGATGGCAGAATTCCATTGACAGTCAAGGAATATGTATAGGTCTTCTGTCCGGGAGAACAGCTCGTCCCTTTCATAGATTCAGAGCAATCCATGTGACCAACAACAAACTCACGTTGTAGATGATGGTCTCTAAATCTGTAACATTGCTGGAACATTTCCTCGTGTGTTTCATTCGCAATAGTGTGACAGCTTCGACCATATTTCTCATAGCTTTCAAATTCATACCTGTCTCAAATCCTGTGCACGCCAAAATGTATTTCAGTTATAGGGCTACGGAACTCCTCTCCAAAATGTCCTTTGTGGTTAGCTTATTACTTATTGGACTGTGGACCTTTCAATTCTGAGCGGTCACTTCCTTGGCAGCACCTTCTACCATGAAATTTTCAGGTTGAGTACAATATCCAACAACAACAGAGTTATAATTCTCTTCTGGCTTTATCCGTTTTCTACTCATGATGCCATGTGGGTTTTTAAAAAACTACTACGAGCCTGTTTCTTCCACAAAGTGACAGTATGTATAGCACAGGAGCAATACACACCTTAAACAAGCAGCAAATTATCCTTCTTGCATGACACAGAAACCAGGTTTGAAAGACGGGTCTGCATATCTAAATCATCAATATAATCAGAACTTTCTGCAATACCACATCTTTGGGAACTCAAGGACCTAATTAAAACTTTTGCTAGTAGAAAATATTTTAAAAAGTGAATGTTTATAAGTTTACAAATGAGCTAAGATACTATCACTTTATGGGTGCATGAACATCAAATGCTGACAGCAAGGATCAAATTTAAAGCACAGGTACCAAAACAACACGTGTCTACTTGAACTAATGATAAGGAAGAGTATAAAAGTCCCTCAATGATGCAGCGAGAAAGAATCAGCAAGACTGCTAACATGAATTGAGACACATCCCCCTCATTTGCAAGTGAGAAAACAAAACGAAACATCTCATACCATGGCGTATGCGGTCATATATGCCTCAGCATATTCTCACAAAGTGGCGTAACAAGGCATACACGCTTCTATGTGAGATGAAGTTTCCTGCAAGAGAGCTATAGGGCTAAATGTTTTTTCCTCATAACTCCGCCATTTTTAAAGCTATCAATGCGCCGTTTATAGAGAATATATATATCTCACTACCCGGCATACCATGGTGGTGTTAACTCAAAACCGGTAATTTTGACGATACGCCCTTTTGTGAGATGGGCGACGATTTGATGTCTTGCACAATGGTTCGAAACTTTCTTGAAAATAATTGATTTGCAACAGTAGGTAGTGATATAATGCTATTAAAGTGATGTGTGATCTGCAGTAAAAATCACTGCAGTTTGACCCTCCCAATGCATCTGTGTGTTGAAGTGATTTGTGATTAGTAAAAATTTACCCACATATAATTATAAAATGGCCATTAAAACCCTCGCAAATCAATTGTTTTCGAGAAACTAAACCTGGTGCCGGTGTTTCCACCCCACCCCACCTTTCCCCCGAAAGCCTCAATGCCAATGATATTTAAAACATGGGGGAAATTTCTTTTATAATTCGAGTAGTCTCTAAAGATCGACTGTACTACACAACTGAGTCACTTCGATCTTTAGATTTAGGTCATATAAAAATATCCAAATATTTCATTAATTTTAATAACTTTGCGGTGTAGACATGATTTTATGATAATATACAATGAGGCTAATACAATAAGAATACTTAAAGAGTAAAAGAGACATTTTAAACTATATAGTCAACAAGCGGATAGCTAGAGAACGACAACTAAACACCATTTGCCAATATTTATAGAAACAGCCATCTTGTTTGACCTCGCAAAGAGGATGCCCGCCGCGTAATCTGATCGTGATTTTAAAAATAGTGATAACTTTTTGTGTAGCGCGCGGTTTGCACTGGCGGTTTCCAAGCTCCTTCCCTACTCCATTGCAGCTCAGCATACTACTGAGTCCAATCTCTTGTAAGTGTTTAATTTTTTGTGCTTACAAAACTTTAAAAGAAACAATCCGGATCGAAACGGTCGATCATTTGCACTGCGTCGTTGAACTTTGTTCAATGAACTTGCTGCCTTCGTATCCAAATTGACATAGAGTATGATAGAGTATAGAGGCCTACTCTAAGTCTTCTTCTTCTTCCCAGTTTACGTAGTGTACAGCATCAGAATCAGCCTGGGCCAAAGAAGGGTGCTGAACAATAATAGACAACGAAATGACTATTCGGACTCGAGTCCGAATATGAAAAAATGTTATTCGGACTCTGATTCTTGTCCAGCATGACATCACTGCCGACTCCCGACTTCCTGTGACTCGTGACTCCCGGTCCGGGCGTTGAACGTCGCATACGCGTCAGTCTTTTTTCCCCCGGCAACTGATCATTATTACAATAATAAGCTAGTCTTGGCGCAGATCTACGCAATAAATTCTGCGCTGGTCTATGGAATCAAAAGTTGCCCTATGCTCAGCTCTACACAGCAACACAACTTTTTCTTGGTAAACAATCGAGATGACACAGGCTTGTGTATTTGAACAATTCGGTCTTTTTTTTTTACAC